TACATCACGCGCGTCGCGCCGTCAGGCTTACCTATAGGCACCTCCAGCTTGAAGTCGGGGGTCTTGTCGTAGCCCTTGGCTCGCATCACGTCTTCACCTGGAGCGGAGAATGACTCCATGCATCACCGGGGTCTGACAATATCTCTCCCTATCAGCTAATGGGGAAAGTGTCGTTAAGAATTTCTGACAGTCGTCCTGATAAAGTTTTCTCCTCCGACTGAGAGAAAAGTTAAGTCGGGAAAGTTTTCTTTGGTGCATAAAATATCAATAGTACGGTTATATGATGTTTTTGTTTTACATTTTTCCTTCTGTCTAAACCTGTAACCAAATACAGATTTGGCACCAAAAGACCAGAAAACTGTGAAAATTTTCTTTGGTGCATAAAATATCAATAATACGGTTATATGATGGGATTTTTAAACCCTCTTCTTGCTCATAACCAATACAGATTTGGTGCCAAAAGTAAGAAAACAGCAAAAATTTCCTTGGTGCATATCATATCAATAATATGGTGACAAGTTTCTTTTTTTTAAACTTTCTCCCTGCTGCCTAACCCTGTAACCAACACAGATTTGGTACCAAATGGCTACCTCAGCAGGCTAAAGGTTAAGCAACCTGTCAGCTGACGAAATCATGAACTCCAACTGCCATTGAAATGGTGCTTTAAAAAGACATCTGGACCATTAAACTTTTAACCAGCACAACTTTTCGCCAGCACATATTTTACAACAGGAACAGATGTGCATACCGATTGAAGTGCAAAATTCTGTGAATTCCACCACACCGAAATGTTGTTGCCAAATGTAACTGGAGGCCAGGATATATTTTCCTGGTCCAATTTCTAACATTCTTGTCCAGGGGGTAGCAATATTCTGGTAAATTTTTGGCTGTTGCTCAATTGGTATGCATTGCACTGTCATCTGTGAAATACAATTTGCAGAAGAAAGGTGAGATATATCATGGCAGCCTTGTCTTTACATCTGACATACCATAACCAAATTCAATAGGAACGCCTAAAATGACACATTACCCTAAACTTACTCGAGAAAGCTTTTGTTATCCCTGTAGTCTTGCTATAGCCAAATAGTTGCACATTTTGTATAACTGACTTCCTATCAATTACATTAAATTGAAATGGCTTAGGTACACCTTATGGAAAATGCAAGCTCTCGTCTGTATCAGCTGAGTATTGTTAATGGAATTTGATGCACAGATGACATGTAAGAAAATGGAAAACTTTCCACCGCCCCTGCTGGTGTTATCCCATTGTGCTTTATAAACTTAATAGTTTTTTTTTCTTTCCTAGTTTACTAATGCAACATTGGTCCCAAAAGTGTACTAATGCAACATTGGTCTCAAATGTCAGGAAAAGCACAGGTGGGTACTCTATATCTTGTCAACACACTGTCTGAATTTTGAGGAAGTTGAGTTGAACTTCTACAGCTTTTTTTTAAAACTCTTCATTCAACAACAGAAATAAACAAAGACAACATGTAACATTAGAGTACACTAAATTACATATTATCTATATTTGATAGTTCTTCTGTAGATGTACAGTTTGTGAGGAAGTTGAGTTCTTCTACTGTTTGTAAGGAACTTGAGTTGAACCTCTACAGTTCTAGAGGAGCACAATCTGTGAGGAGCTCACCTATAAAGGCGATGCCCTTGTCTTCCAGAATCCTCTTCAACTTGTTCTCGTACTCAAACCCTACAGAGCTGGAGGCACAGGTCAAGGCGGGTGACACGGTAAAGAGTATGGTAATGAGGGTTCTCTTCAGCCTGGAACCATCCTGGTTTATCTTTAACCGCTGGACGGAGCGCTACCTCACTTGGTTGGTGACCTATGGAGAGGCCTGCACCAGAGATAGATGGTGGGGCTCAGCGGGTGCTTACCTGCTTACATGCTGTACAACAGGGACAACAACGTGTCAGACGGTTTATCAGACGGGCTCAGCAGATTCAGACGTGATAGCACACCTGGCTATATGTCATGCCGCTACAACAAAACTTACCTTCAAACTTTGGAATAAATGAATGGACTTAATTGCTCAACAGTTGTATAGGGTACAATTATACTAGTCTAAATTGAGCAGCGCTCAGAAGAGCAGATTCTCCTTCACAAAATGCCAATTCCTTGTTCAATATGATCAAGGGGGTTAAAAATCCATATTTGATATGGTTCTGTTTTCCAGTTACAGTACATGTAGTTCAAATTGTCCTCAATTGTTTTCCCAAATTATTGAATACTGTCAATTTATTCACTCTTGCAATGGTTTGTTTTGGTGTAGAAGAGAACTAGAAAATGAGGTTTTCACTGCACCCTATTATGTAGTGCAGTAGCAATTGGAAACACATAATTGCGGTGTGGTGAATTTGCAGTGTAGAGGTCACCACAAAAACTGGGAAAATAAAACCACAGCGAAAGTTTCAAGATTTACAACTATACTTTCCTTTTCAACAGTGTCTTCAGTTCAGTGTCTTCAATGACTTCAATTTTTCAGCTTGACATTTCCTGCCATCCTACTAGAAGTATTGCTGATGTTTTCTGACAGTCTAATGCTTAAACAACCATATAAAATGGTGTATGCAAGTGGGTGCCACAGTACAGTGGACTAGCCACCCGCGGCTGATCCACAAAGGGAATCAAAAAGAACCTCGTCTCTTCCAAAGTGCTTGTCTCCTCTTCCATTCAAACCTTGAGGAATGCACCGGATCTGTTTTGCAAAGTGGCATTTCCTACCTCTTTATATGTGACACTTTACAACCATATCGCACATTCTGGGCTCGCCAGGTAAAGCCTGCCCAAGTAATAGCCACATCCCTGACTGTCCCTTGCCATTGCTAATGGGTTATGGGAATCCTGCCCTAGAAAAGGTCAGGAATTGTATGTTTCAATGGGGTCAGGTTCAACACCTCGTCCCTGGTGAGTAAAATCCCCAACTCGTTTCGGAGCAGCCCTAAATCTGTCACATCACTCACGGCGAGCGGCCCGCCCATGCAGACTCCTCCGAGGGTGGCGCAGATGGAGGCAGAGGTCGCCGTAACCGGGCTTAGCCGCGCGGGGCAGCGCCTGATGACGCCGCATCAGAGCCCGCCTTATCGAAGATGCCACATTTCTACCCGCGTTCCCAACCTACCCGGAGCATCGTCGTGTCAATTCCACTCGCCGAGCACATCCGCGCCGAGCTATCTGTCCGACCCCGCCGTACGCCGTTACACACCGGAGCATCCGGTCCCCCAATATCTGAGGATTGCAGGCAAATCCCTGCAAGGCATGGCCAACGTAATTGTCCCTACAAAATTTGTAACACCTGATAAGAGGGTGGTTTTTGTAAGGGGGGATTGAGAGGGACACCAAGTTGTCTGGCTTGGTAAGCAGGGGGACAGTAGTGTTACGCCTCCCTTATCAGGTTTGCCATGGAACCTGGAGAATAGGGCTGGGTTGTGGGGGGATGATAGCACCGCTATCTTTAACTTTGGTGACTCAAAATGTTATTCTAATGGAGTATGTGAGCTGAATTCAGCTTTTTCACGCACCATTTGTGTTGGAAAAGTACTTGGGGAGGACATGTTGGATTTAGATGTCTAGTCTTGGCATCAAATGCTTCTAAGAACTGAGACAGTGCTGCTTTACTTTAATTACCAGTGCTTGTTTCGTAGCTTCCTTTCCTCTATCTACACGAAACTAATTAATTACAGTCTGCTAAATAAGTTACGGTGAGAGCGAAAATGGGATGAAACTTCTGCCATTTCCCATCTTAAATTTGTTGTTTCATTATAGCCATTAACATCTTATACATTTTTTGTCTTTGTCAGGGGACTAAGCTACAAACTGAGAACTTGCCCCAGGGAAAAGGTGTCACAACAAAATACTGTATCATAGGAAATGTGTTTGTCTGGGACAACATCTATATCTACAGTGGATAAGTTGGAGCCTGCACATTACTGTGAAAAGGATACTGCCGTATGCTGTCCACCACAGGCCCATACACACAGTCATTCAGGATACACTGCAACAAAAGATAAAGGGAACACAATAATGACAAATTTAAGTACAATGATGGAGGCAACAAAATACCTTCTTGGCATATTGAATCTTTCTTGGTAAAATGATAATTTCAAACGAATCAGAATAAAGAAACATTCACACAAATGAACCAAAATAATGTTCATAATGTGTCATAAATCTAACTGAATAGTTTTAATAGCAGTGAAGCTCCCAAATGACCATTTCTCTTCCAATATTCTCATTAGACACTGACCTTATAACACAGACCTGTTGGGTCTACTGTGCCTCAGTTAAAAGCCGTAACATTACCTAACATGGTATATACCTAACATGGTATATACCTAACATGATATTTCCTGTTCTAACAGAACTCTACATAATGACAGGGACATATTTGTCCCTGCCAGCTGACCAAGCCAAGTCTACATGTCCCCTTCTCGCAGCACATGAAGATTACATTATTATTTATTACCTTGCATTAAACCCCAGTAGGCAACGTCACAGCACACCCAGTGATCACTAATATGTTTTCCCACTGGGGTGAAGATCAAAGGTGCCATCATAATACAATCACTTTCCATTTAGAAAACACCTTGTCAGGTGCGTGTCTCAAAAACCTACGTTAAGCTGAGAAAGGTATGTGATATATAAATCAGTACTGTACAGGTAAGGACCACCTACTGTAGGTTATAGCTACACTTTACCTAACCATACAGCAGAACACAGCACTTGTGACTGGTTTGTGATGAATCGTTTCCCCACCTGGCTTTACGGGCAAGCTAAACTAACGTCTTAAGCAGCTTACCTTTACTTTGGGGGAGGATTCATTCATACTTCATCATTTCATACGGGGCGGTCTCCACGCACTATCACTGACGGAGATCTCATCTTTATTTTTTGCCCAACCTCGGCGAGCGAGCTCCATCTGTCTTGCACTCGCACCAGGAAAATTTCCCGCCAGCTTAGCACGACGGCGGGACCTTCCCTGTGATATTTCTTGGTCTGTCCCCCCAATTTCAGCCTGTGAGGATGAAGAGCTGGAAGCTGACAAAATAATCCACCCAGTGGCAATAAGTGCCAGGCAGGGTGACAGCAGCCCTCCATCACTGTCCCCCACCATCCCCATAAAGGTCACACTAACTTAATACAGGACCTCACACTCCATATATATGTCCTACCAAACCTCTCTACCTGGGACTAGAGTAATTAGGATGGTCAGAGGCTGGTTGGTACAGACCTGGGTGGCCCTTTACCTTCTTAAATAACCTGCTGAAGACTGTTAGTCTTATCCTCTTATTAGATCTCAGGAAGTCTGTTGCTTTGCAAATCCCCAGAAGACCGTATGCTGTATGGTATGTACCTAATAGTATGTCCAGGGTATAACCTGGATTATGGGTCGTAGTAGCACATGGAGGATTTAACATTGCCTCCCAGGTTCTGTCCTTTTTCACCTGACTTGGATATGAAGAAGTTTCACATAATTCTTGCATACAAAACTGTCATGATGAGTCCTTTTCCTGGCAAATTTCACTCACTCGCCCACTCACTCATCATACAATTAAAAGTAACAACACAGTTCAAAAGGGACAAATGACCTGAGAAAGAGTTTCACCCAAGGCCAGGTGAGTTGTGTAAGATGTTTGCTTGCTCATCTGTTCTGTAACTTGTGTGAAGCCAGATGAGTTATTCCTAACCTGTTGGAATGTCTCACCTGTTGTGTAAGACCAGGTGAGTTGTGTGAGACATTTGCTCACCTGTTGGAATGCCTCACCTGTTGTGTAAGGCCAGGTGAGTTGTCTGAGACATTCCCTCACCTGTTGGAATGTCTCACCTGTTGTGTAAGACCAGATGAGTTGTGTGAGACATTTGCTCACCTGTTGTACTTCGTTAGCGAGGACAGGATCCGGGATCTGGCAGGGATCCTTCAGCAGCTGGTTCACGTAGGATCTTGCAGCTGGAGGAACATGGGGAGGGAGACAAGTTAGCCTGGGTGCCAGACCCATCACACACTAGGCTCAAAGTTATCCAGTGTGCGGAAAACTGCGGCCTAGTGTGCTATGGGTCTGGCACCCAGGCTAGCAACAAGTATACGACTTGGAGTCAGACAAAAAAAGCCTTGTAAGAAACCATCCAGGATTGTCAATAATATTTGTATTTATCACTTCATGGCTAATATCATCATCCAGGATTGTCAAAGCTATTTGTGTTTATCACTTCATGGCTAATATCATCAATCTATCTCTGTACAGTCTAATTTAGTGATGCTGCCTTTTTTTCTGCTGCGTATTAAAGTAAAACTTACAACAAAGATTAGCTTCTAACAATAAAACCTACACAAAAATTAGCTTCTTATGTACACCATATTGATAAGAGATTTCCCAAGGGACATATGATCATGCTTCTGTGAGATTCACTATTCTATGGATTTTACTGTCCTTTCAATATATATCCTCGTATTAGAGGTTGCATGTGTAAAACAATATTGAGAATGATGGCCAATAACTCTCCTGATATAACTTATATTTCAATACAGGTTCCCCGCCACAATATTTTACGAAGTGTTTTCCAAAGCAGTAACACAGCTAGTAAAACTGATTTATTCTATCAGCAAAAACCACATTAGACAATGTAATCAAAACAGCTGTGTAACAAGGCCCAAACCCTACTAAATCTCCGGGGCCGAGTTTTCCCTGTGTTGTGGTCTTCTCATGCCCAGACTAAGTGCAGGACAGAATGAATGTTGTCTACATCAGGGCAGGTAATTCCCAATAACATCCCTGCAACTTAAGTTCCTTCTTTTATTTATGACCGGCCTTTCACGGAGACTCTGATGACCGCTGCATTTCTCGGGCCCTTTTGAGGGGAACTACGGGGCATGTAACGATAGTCGGCCCATACTCAAAAAGCCCACCAAAAAATTTCATAGCCGTAATGTGGGCAACAAATTGCCTCCCTCAAATCAAATCCTACAAGTACCAGAGGCTCGTGCCCATTTCCGGATGTAAAATATTGCAAAAATCATTTACATTGGGACTGGGTCATAAAGCTACATGTACCTTTGAGGTCAATTTGGCTTACATTTCATTATTGCTCAGGACGATCAGAACCATCCATCAGGCGCGGCTTTCTTAGATTGAGGCGGAGTATCAATACTGTAATCCACAGACGGCAATATACCCGGAATTACCAGGAGGAAACTGGCGGGCGGTCATCTTTCTCAATGTACCCGCCCGGGCAAATGCCTATACATGCGATCCCGGCGGAAACAAAAGAGCTTAAGTGTGGACTATGCGGGGTCCTATCGAGAGTAAAAACGATATGCGTTGCAAAGTTGTGAGGCAATAAATCAATACTGATGAGGCCAGGGAGACCTGACAGAGACAATAATGTGCAATGTAGAGTAATGGGTAAATGACAGGACGAAACCAAAATCGATACGAAATTAGCGGGGGATCCGCACCCCCCGAAACTTTATCTGTAGCGCCGGACACGAAACTGATGATCAGATATATTTCAGGCTGAATACAACAGACGAGGCCAATTGGCCTCATATGATAAATTTTTGCCATCGTCAGCAAATTGGGTTGGACAATTAGAAAGAGCCCAGTGTCAGACGTTCAATTTTTTCTGTCTGCGGGCCGGCTGACCAGGAGAAATCTGTATACATCACTACTCAACAAAAGCCCCGGTGAGGATGCAAAAAACTCGGAGGTACATGTACTACCGTGACACACGTACGTTTAAAAACCTGGTAGCTACTTGATTTTTACAGTTTTGTTAAAGATGATTAATCAAATTGGTGGTTAATGGGACTCATTAGGATGACATACGACCTGCCGGCTTCCATTTGTTACCAGCGAATCACCCGTCCTGTCACCTCGAATAAGCAACAGGTACAGCTGCAAAATGTGCTGCATCAATCCTACCAGCTTCTGAACAACTCAAATAGGAGTCCCTGTTTTGAGAAATAAAAATAAGATTTTTTCTAACAGCCTTCATGCTCTCTTACTTTCTGGTATCTCATACACAGCAGTGTGTTTCAAAATCTCGGCTATCATAATTCGCCATCATAACTAGCTACTTCAAAGGCGATTTTTTATTTATTTCTAGAAACACTGAAAATAAAGCATGAATACATCAAACTCCTCGTACACAGGTGTGTTTCCAAATTCCTGCTGCCATCATAAATTGCCATCATAACCAGCTAGATCACTAATCAAAGAGGAATTTTTATTCCTGAAAAACACTTATGTTTTTCTAACTGCCTTCATGCTTTATTTTCAATCTATGTTGTGACAAGCATCTCGCGCACAGGTGTGTTTCAAAATCTCTGCTGCCATCGTAAATTGTGATCATGACCAGGTCTCTACCTTGCTCAGTACCGCAGCTATGATCTGATGGAAGTGTATGTGCGCCATACATTCCCTACAACTGACCGCCGCGTTGGGACGGAACTCTCAACTTTCCGCTAACCCCAAGAAAAGGACAAGGCAAAGAAGAGAGCGAGCAAACATCGATCCAATCCCCCTTCCTGATCCTTTCATATGCACTTTCCAATTTCTATGGGAACAAGTGCAGCTCAACTCCAATGGCCCCAGCACTTTCTGCAATCAGCTTGCTTGGAATCTTTGCTTTTCGGATCATTGACTCTGACCAACAAATTACCAAGATCTTAGGGAATGGGGCCTATCTGCATTAGTCCATATAATTCCAATTTACCCTAATGACTTAAGAACTGATGAGGTTGGGGCCTGCGTTCCCTGTTTGGGCGAATCCAGGGACCAGATAATGATCGCGGCCTGCCATTGTTGGGGATACCCATTAAATCACCCGCCTTAATAATGTGGGATCGCGAGGAATAGAAAGTTAATGCATGACCCTCATTACGGTCTGCGGCGATAATGATTCTCCGGCCTGTGATGAGCCGAGGGGGCCCTCCCCGCAGTTTAATCATTGTTTGTGGGCAAAAGTGTCCAGTTCTGGGCCGGGAATCCGGCCAGGCTCCCCACCTCGGTGATGGTGATGATAAGCCGGGCTAAGTGAAGCTAAGTGATATCTGCTCATTACCGCTAAATTCTGCGGCTAAACCGGGGAGCTGAGCAGGCCGCGCAGGCCGGCACTCGGGCCAAATCAGTCTGAGGGCCGGAATTGGAAATACTCGGAATTTCGGGTAATTTGCCTTTCGATTTTCAGAACCTCACTGATTAGCAGAAAACTCCTTGGCTGCTAAGAGCCCATCGACCCCCGTGTGAGATAGTTGATTTTCAAAAGAGATAGACCTTCCCGGTTTAACCTCTGCACCAGACTGGAGGAGAGCCAGCAACTCCCAACTTCTGGTTGATAATCCATCATTAGCTGATGTACTACAGAGGAGACAGACAACTAAAGGACATGGGAGAGAGAAAATGTCCAAAGTTGGTGTCCCGTATTGTGTACTCCACAGAGAAGACGTGCAGCCAAGGTCTCCCTGCTGACCTCGCCACCTACATATATGGTCAATACAGCACTATTCTGGGATATCCACCATTAGGTGAGATGGCCATTGTGCCGGGGTATAAAAGATAATGACCTGCACTCTCCACTTTAATCTGGAAGCCACAAAATTCCTTCTCCATAACAAAGGTGGCCGGCCCGGCTTCGGCCGCACAAATCCGTTCTTAGGAGTGCCAATTTTGCCTGGAGGGCAGACGGGAAACTATTCTGGACAATTGAAGAGCAGGGCGGCTTGATCGTTGTTCTACCCCATTAACAGAAGGCAATGGCTTTGACCCGGGGTCTATTGAATTTCATTTACCCCCAGTATTAGTGATCGTGGTCATCTGAAGGAAGGACTTCCCTCGGAATAGAGGGGAAGAGGATTGGTACATAAATCAGCGGGGGAAGATTAAAACGGCCCCAGGAAATTGTGTGTTGGGGGCATTAAATGCAGTTCTGCATGGAGGATGACACTGTTTGATGGTGTGGGAAATGGCAGGCTCCGCCGTCTGCAGTCGTTTTTTCCCCGACAGAGGCAGAAATTCTGGTGACATCGGGGCAGGGTGTGTGATGGGCCACATTACCAGCACGGCCAGAAACGGCTCCAACTTATGCCCGTGTCATACCTGGCTCCAAAATAATTCAGTGTTTTAAACACTTCTTGTCCACAGATAAACGATCACAGCAACACCTTGCACCATCCTAGCAACAGAAAGCAAGTAAGACCAGCAACAGAAAGCAAGGAAGACCAGCAACAGAAAGCAAGGAAGACCAGCAACTTAGTCCAGTCTTTTTCTACTGGGCACTATTTTTGTGTGCTTTTTCCAGGCTTAGTCATGGACACTGTAAAATTATGAACCGAAATTCTGGAAAATTATTATATTGTGTTCTTGTCTTCAATGCAACTTTCACATAATATACGTCAAGGTAAAATACACTGATCAGTAAGAAATTATATTTCCTACAACTGGACTTTTATCTGCCATGACAAAAGAGTAAAACACAGATACAAAGGAAAGTGTATGACATTGCATCAACCAAGGGAGATGAAAAGTATTGTCATGATTTGAAAGTTAGAAAATAAATATTCTGCTAAATGTTTCCAAAATAAATTAAAATCCATCCGTGTACTAACCTTTTCTTCATAGCTGTTACCAGTAGTGATCAAAAGAGAAGTGATTTATCTATATATGTGCCATAAAGGGTCCCAACTGCCCCTACAGTGAATACTTTTACTGTCAGTATTCTCAGTGACATGAGGTGATTTGCTTATACAAAAGAGACCCCTAGCAACATGTATCATAACCGCATCACCTTCAGCAAAACAAAAACACAGGATCCTGACAGACCTATTTCATCTTTACTCTTCTTGAGATTTCTTGCTCTTTGTATTAAAATTTTCTCTTTGTGATCAAACATCAACACAATAATGCCCACATTTGCAAATGTTGAAAGGAACAAACAGTTCAACAATATAACAGCCCCACGGACCTAAATTCTTAGGGCTGTTCAAAATACCAACCTCAGAAGGAGAGGTTGGTATTTTGCTAAGTAAGGAATGGACCAGGAAAAATCGTACAAAACGAAAGCAAACAAACCCGAAGGATAGAGGTTGAACTTACGTGGTTCAGACTCAGCAGCTTGCAGTGCTAGATGTCGCTCCAGGATGATCTTGGCGAGCAGGGAGGGAGCCAGGTCAACCTGCAGCAGTATACAATATCTCAGTCAATAAGACCATCAGCAACTGCAGAATAGAAAAACTTGGTAACTGATGATGATGGTAGTGGTACAGAAGAGGTGTAAAAGAAACAGTGACAGATTGAGGTGATATTTGTTACCAGGAAGATCTTAGCCCAAATCAACATATAGGTTGAAATGACAAATGTAATTTGGATTGGTATCAAAATCAAATTAATTATAGATTATTTGTTGCGCTGGAACAAGCAAATGAGCAGCAGTAGGTATCTACAAAACTTGGATGTTCCTTCAACCACATCAGAGAATGTTTACTGAGATGGACTTTTAAGTTAGACAGAAGCCAAGCTGAGTTGACTCTCCACATGAAACCAAAGCTCCTGGCTTCTCAACCCTTTTAAAACTGCTCCTACAACAAACAACATTGCTTTCTTGCAGACATGGTTTGCCAAAAAATAGCCTTTCCTCAAACTTTCCTACATCAGTATACGCAAATCCGTGTACCATTGTTGCGGAATTGCGGCGTACTAAGTATGCTGACGAGAGTTTTTTCCCAATCAGCGCAGCACGATCACCAGCATCGGTGCCAAGAAAAATCGCTACCAAGAAGGGGCAATACCGAAGATGTATGGCTACTTCCTCTTGTGCTTTCTTTGGCAATGCATATTGATGAGTGTAACGCAAAGTTGTTCCTTTGGCCTACAATAAAATGCTGAATCTAAGGGCTTCTCATTCATCACAAAGCAAACTTGTGGCATGTAGGCACTGCCTGGGACAGCTGATAGATGTGCCATGAAAAAGTTTTGCTTGGCTTGACAATAAAGTAAATGTCTCCCAGGGATCCCCTGTCTTCCTACCAAATTGTTCCATATTTCAGCGGTGGGGCAAATTTTGACAAATAGAAGCAGTGACAGGCGAGGCCATGGAAGCTGCAGAAAGTTGCGGGGCTGCCCTGTAAAATGAATGACTTGCCACTGACAACAGAATGTCAGATTCAAATGCCAGGTCAGAGCATGGCCTTGCACCATCTATCAACCTGTCACCGGGATCCACACTAACAAGCTTTAATTCAAACAAGGAAGTCGGCCCATAATTTTCCGAACAAACCATTTTTCATGCACGACATCCATTACTGGTACATGCTTAATGGCGACAAAAGCGCCGAGCAATCAGCAAACATTTACATTGAAACAAATGCGCTGTATAACAATGAGCCTGCCCCTGCACATTCATGTTTATAGAGGACCACCAAATGCCACATTTGTCAAACCTGACATCATAGATCTTTTCATTTTCCTCAGGTTCTTCATCAAACTGTCAAATATCACGGTGCTGCAGTTCTCAACCCAGCTGATAGGTGATGCTGATGGATAGATACCGGGCACATGTACTATCACTCAAACCATCTGTGTTATATATTACATGTACTTCAGCTATTCAACTACTGCTACCCATACTGACAGCTTTGTTTCATTTCTTTGTAAACATCTAAGATCAACACACGGGTACACACGTATGTAAACATGCATTTGAAACACTTTCTTGAGGTATTCAGCAGATCAGTCTGCATCTTAAATGCCTTTTATTAATTATTTCTAAGGATTTCCTGTTGTAAGCTGCAGGAACCCAAGAAGGTACAAATGTACCTCTTTGATGTATCTTACTGGTTTTTCTCACCTCTTTTGCTATTCTCAAGAGAACAGTGCCCATTGTGTCTGGTGAAATCCTTGCTTGATACCTGCAATGATATAAATAGGTTATGTCTCTTCTTTGTTTCTTTCATCCCTTATTACATGTATTATACTCCATTATAAAATGATCTGCATGACAACGTATCCTACCAAATACAATGCATTATGTTGTTGTGAGCGGGGCAAGAAATGCAGACTAAACGTCCACAGTGCCTGGAAAAGATTAGCAACTATTGCAATTGCAAAATACAGCATTTTACCATTCTTACGTTGTCACCCCTTGATTAGATATGTATGAGACAACCAGGTTTCTGCCCTTAGCTCCCTTTATATATAAAGGAATATGTATAAAGGAATATGTATATATATATATATATATATATCAAAGCAGAATATATATATATATCAAAGCAGAATGGTTTGACTTTGAATGTGCAGATAACAAAAGGGAAATGCTATTCACAGCATTTACAAACAAACATTATCACATACCCAGTAGGTAATTGTAAAAAATTACAAACAGGAGTTCATATCTAAAATGCAGACATCACAGAACCATGAATTACATATAAGGATATACAGTAGCATGATATTATGTAACTACAAGCATAATACACTTACTTGGTTAGCTGTGCTTCTGCAAAAGCCACCAACACATCACAGGTGGACAGACTTGCAACAATCTTGAAGAGCTGACACCAAACTTAAAGTCTACAGAGGACTTTCCCTTTTTATCTTTTATGGTCAAGACTAACTTATGTTCTTTGGCAAGTTTGGGCAAAATATGGCATGACCACATACTTCAGGTTTTTAACCCCTACTCTAAGGCCATGTTGATTTGATTATATGGATGACATCCGCGCGCGCATGAATTTTCGGGCGTTTCCAAAAAAAAAGTTTTCAACCATACTGTAAATCGTAAAAAACAGTTGCAAAATGAGCAAAAATACACCATAACTTACAAAAAAAATTAAAAACTATACCAATGTCGTAGAATGCCAAAATCAAACGATAAAAGACGAAATTGTAAAGAAATGAACTTGAAGACTAGATTATTCGCCAAACCATATTCTGTGCCATTTGCTCAACCCTCATAGAAATTGACCACGTAGATTTCATAATGAAAAGAACTTTTTTTTTGCAAAACTTTTTTTTTATTCGCACGCGCGCATCAGTTTTGGGGCTCCCGGAGGATGTCATCCATATAATCAAATCAACATGGCCTAATGATAAAAGCTTCTATCAGCAATGAATATGTCCCAGGTGAGCTGGCTGACAGTACAACTACAACTAGGACAACAATGATACAGGCCAGACCACATCCCTGAAGGAGGGTTAAGCCGCAGTGACGGCAGGTGAGGCTGGAGAAGGGACAGCCTGCTGGGTGCTCAGCAGGCCGAGGAAGGGACCGGCCAGGCAACATCACTGCCCAGGCTGACCACGGCACAGCAGGGGGTGTCACTCAGCAGGGAGAGGAGGGGACTACAGGTGAACCAACACAGCACCAGGACAGGACAACACAGCAGGC